ATATATTGAGGATCAAATGAGGACGCATTCTTAGGTGAGGACGTGAGGACTAATCTTATGCGTTTGTTTTTTTTATTTTGATGGCCCAGATTTGATTTCCTAAGATGACATGGATTGATCTTTTTTGTTAAAGTTGGGTAGTAGTGTCTTTTTCTATTTTTTTTTTAAAGTGTGAACGCATGTGTAATCCTTGCCTTAATTGGTTTCCTATTTTTTTGGATCACCACCGTCGCGATTTGGAGCTGCGATTTCTTCACCATTGATTGAGTGTTCGCCCATGCAATGTAATAGGTATTTTTTATTTTTTTCCGCTCGTTCTTTTGAATATAATATTGTCTATATTTGGATGATCGTGTATATGTACAAATGCCTGGATAGTACGATTGTGCATTCGTGTGTGCTGGTTGTGCAACCTAGTGTTGTAAGTTGTGCACCGTGGGCTGGTGAGTTGTGCATTAGTTCACATATTTCAGTGCATCGTAGGACATTGACATGTCCACTGTAGGATTTTTAGGTGGTGTTTGAATGCACAACTTTAGACTTACCGATGCACAATATTTTGTATAGTAATGCATAGATTCTAATTTATCCATAAATTTATATTTTTAAATATTTTAAAGGGATTTGTTTCCTTAATCCGTGTGATTTGTTACTTTTAATCTCAGCCATGCTTTTATTCTGATTTAATGGTCTAGATTAGTCCTCACCTAAGATTATGTACTCACTTGATCCTCACCCTATATATATATATATATATATATATATATATATATATATGTGTGTGTGTGTGTGTGTGTGTGTGTGTGTGTGTGTGTGTGTATATATATATATATATATATATATATATATATATATATTTATTTATTTATTTATTAATAGGTTGATGGATAAAAATTATAATTAATTAAATATATACATTTATATAATACATTATATTTATTAAATAAATATAAATATTATATAATGTGTAAATGGTATTTTTGGTATTTGTGATATAAAAGCTATTCCCAAGGGCATGGGAATAGCTAATACCAAGGCCCCCCTAGGAATGGCTATTCCCCTTGCGAAGGTAATAGCCCATTCCTAGGCATGCTATTCCCATGACAAAATGATCCAACCAAACGATGGAATAGGTCTATTCCAAGGAATGTTATTCCATTCCTGACCTATTCCATGAACCAAACATGCCATTAGTAGTGATTCTTTTGGAGCTTAGTGTAAACTCTTCTTGCTAAGTGATTTCTTTAGTTTGGTATATAAGTTTCGTTGTGAAGCTAGTTATCCATCTTTGGAATGTTTTGTGATTTGGGTCAATTCTACAATCCTTATACTTGGTTGTTCTTAAAACAATTCCTTGTGAGCTCCCTAAATTTTCCAAGTATTCTTTGAAATTGGAAATAGCAAAATTCATACCAAAAACCTTTCCTTGTGTAGCTTAAAAGCCAAGCCTAATGTTTAATTATAACCTTTGAGTTTCAAACCCGAGTCTATTCTTTGTCAACCCAACCTCTAACCCATTTGAGCTAATTGTCTTCCTTGAAATCTATCCAATTTTAATCCCATCTAAACCATAAATTTCCACTTTACCCAAAATCCCCAAATTAAATCATCTTTTTTTTTTTTTTTTTAATTTCCAATTTCTCTCAAATCCCTAAAATTCCCTTTCTCTTCTCCTTCCTTTATCCCTACCCGTGAGATCACCTAAACCCTACCCCCAACCCGTAGCTTCACCGCCGCCGACCTGCTGTCGCCGAGAGAGAACCGCGAGGGAGAGAGTGAGCCGTGCGAGAGAGAGGAGAGTAACGGGAGTGAAGAGGAAAGAAGAGAAGTTGTGGGCACCTTTTGTTGAGCTTTGGGCATCTCCTACCATGCCTAGAAGATCAAGTTTGGCTAGAAAAGCGGAATAGGTGGATACCCACTACCTTGTTCTTGAAGGTAAAGCTTTTGACCCGGAATCTTTTCCTAGTCCCTTGTTGGATATGCTTAGATTTCAGGGTTTGTTGGATGGGTTTCTCTCCATAAGGGCCGAGACTTACCCGAGTTTGGTTAAAGAGTTTTATCGTCACATGGTTGTGACCAAAGAGGGTGAGAAGCTTGAGATCACTTCTAAAGTGAGAGGTGTAAAGTTGGTGCTTTCTTAGAAGAGGCTGGCTCAACTTTTGAGTTTGTCTGCTACCGGAGTGGCTCAGTACAGTGGTCATGCTTGGATTAGTATGGATACCATGGGGTATCGTGACTACTTGAGCTACTTGATGGGCCGTACGAGTGGTTTCACTCAAGCGTCCAGGCCAGAGAAGAAGTGGTTGTCTGCGGAGCAAAGGATTTTGGTGATGTTGGTATCGGACTGTTTGTTGCCTAACAACAACAAGAGCAAGCTGTTGGGTAAGTTGGAGTGCACTTTTGCCTTCTGTCTCAAGAATATGGTTAAGTTCAACTTGCCTGCTTTGATGTTGCAACACATGGTGTTTTGTCGGGATCACAATCGGAAGAGCTTACCATACGGGATGGTGTTGAGTTGGATCTTGGTTAGGAAGGGGGTTAGTGTGGACGGTTGTCTTCCTAAGGCCGTGGGAAAGCTAGTGTTGGATGCCACCAACCTTCGGAGTTGTAATCTGTTTCAGATGGATGATGGTGAGTACATCACGCTTGAAGAAGTGGCAAGAAAAGCACCCGAAGAAAGGGCAGAGCTGGCAGCTGAGCTTGGCATCCATGCTGGGAAGTTGAGCCTCGCTATTCAAAGCTTGGGAGGTGATGAGGAAACCGAAGATGAAGCCGATCGTGAGGATGTGGTGGGAGCACTGGAAGCCGCCGAAGCTGAAGAGAGTGATTCGGATAGTGAGGAGAATCGGAGAAGGAAAGAAGCTCGCACGAAGAGGGAGCATAATGCCATGGCTCACGAGGAGCGTATTGTCGCCTTGCTTCGCCAGCAGAACCGCTTGATCCAGGAGGGCTTTGCCTACATGAAGACGCAGTTCGTCGCCGTGCACCACCGGTTAGCCCACCGGTTCTTCTCTTGTGACGTGTGTAGTCACAAAGGCATTTGTTACCTTGGCATGTGTTGCCGGTTGTGTAAGTCTTATTCTTTTGCGTTGTACTTGTCGGATTTTGATCTATTGAGTGATGATAGATCATGCCTTGACTCTTTTGTGAGTCGTGTTGTTCTTGTGGTCTTGGGATGTGTTCCCATGTTGTTTGTTGAGAGTGTTGAGTCTTATGTTGGCTTTGACTCTTGGTTTTACACTTATATATATGTATTCCGTTTTGAAAATGGTTTTACAATTTATACCTTACCTATGTATGTTATTTCACATGTATTGGTGGGTTACCAGCATTATTCACTGACCGGGCGTCGTCCCATGTTTATTTGTGTTCTTTCAGGTGATGTCTAGACGAGCGCGATGTCTAGTGCCCGATAGTGTAGCTCCTTTCGTTTGTCTTACGGCCTGTGAGCCGGTTTAGTTTTAGACTTGTGAGTTTTGGGATAGTTGTATACCATGCAGATTTGGCCGTAGCATTTATCGTTGTTGGTAAACGTGGCATAACACCCCATGTTTTGAATTTATGTCTAACCAGTTACCTTTTTATCTTCCGCTGTGCTAGTGTTTGTTGTGATATCTGCATGTGTTAAGGCTTTTTGTATAGCATGTTTTGGGAGGTGGGGGGGGGGGGGGGGGGGTGTTACAGCGATGGCTTCGACAGGTCCGGCAGCGACGATGGCTTCGACAGGGCAGAGTAGTGACTTGTTTTAGATTATTATTATTTTTTGAAAATGACATTTTTAGATTTATTTGAGGGTAAAATAGGAAATACTAATTTTAGGCTATTCTTGAGAACTCAGGAATTGCCTAATACCAGGGGGTGCCTGGAATCTATATTCCCCTTTCAAGGGGAATAGATCATTCCCCGGAACAATGTTATTGGGAATAGAAAATTTTAGCAAACAAAGGAATATGTCTATTACTAGGAATGTTATTCTATTCCATGCCTATTCCGCGAACCAAACATGCCATAAGAGTATTAATTTTGTACTTGAAACAAATTAATAGTTGTGTAACACACAACATATTGTGTGTCTTAACGCACAAAAAAAAATTTATGTTATGAATTATATCTTGTGTTGTGAATTTGAAAATAAGTAAATATATAACATGTGTATCTATCTTGTGTTGTGAATTTTTGTGTCTTGTATTATGAAATTTTGTACCTTCAAAGTGTGAATTCTGTACCTAGAATAGACTAATAGTTATGTAACATACAACATATTATGTCTTTATATTATGAATTTATGTCTTACATTATAAAATTTTGTGCCTATTTTGTACCTAATTAAAAGTATTAATTTTGTACTTGGAACAAATTAGTAGCTGTATAGGAACATAAAAAAGGAAAAAAATTATAAAATCTATTCCTCCATAAAATTTAAACATCAAAACATTGTCATTTTAATTCAAGATTCACAATATACTATGTGAATCCAAGTATAAATTGTCACGATAGACTAGAAATTGAGAATTTATCTAATAAAACTCTTTCTAGAGGATCAGAATTCATGGCTGTCAGCAAAATCCAAAGCTTCATCTTGTCGGCTGTCATCTTGCCATTAATGTCGGGACCAATCAATAATATCCACAAAAAGGTGTTTCACTATAACTTCTAGTACATGAACTTTGGATCTCTACTCTTTTAATTTTATTTCCTCATAAATTATGAGATAGTAACCTTATGATTAAGCAGCATAACTATAGCTCTATTAAATAAAAGGTTACATGTTTAAACCTTAGTGAAGAGACAAATTTATTTTTATCTTTTGAATCTCAAAAAAATATCAACATCAATATTTTGAGTGTAAAGTAAAAATAAGAAGTACTCCCTAAAACTTTGGAGTTCAAATAATATATTTCATTTAATTTAACTAATCGAAGCAAATAATTGCATGACTAGGGATGCGGTATGCCCTTACATCATCATTATTAGGCAATTAAAAAGGCTTTATCGTACCCAGAAGATGCCCAGAACTTGAATTCAGTCCCCACTTGTCATGCATATCAAAACACACTAAGCTAAGCAAAGCCAGTAAATCCCGAAAGCCAGTTTCCATTTTCCAGTTGGTAGCGATCGATGGCGTTGATAACAGAGCAGCAGCATTTCGTGTTGGTCCCATTCATGGCTCAAGGCCACATGATCCCCATGATAGACATAGCCAGATTGCTGGCCCATAGGGGCGTCAGAATAACACTTTTCCTAACTCCCCATAACGCCACCCGAGTCAAAGCCGTGATTGATCGCGCCCAACAATCTGGTCTCCCAATCCAAGTCGTCCAGCTTGGTTATTTTCCCTGCGCCGAGGTTGGCTTGCCAGAGGGCTGCGAGAATGTGGACTTGCTCCCATCTTTTGATATGGGGATGAACTTCTACGCCGCCACGAAGTTGCTTCAACCCAGAATCGAGGAAGTGATGAGGGAGATGAAACCCACCCCCACCTGCATAATCTCCGATATGTGCCTCCCATGGACGACCAATATCGCCAGGAACCTTAACATCCCGAAAATTGTTTTTCATGGGATGTGTTCTTTCTCTCTGCTTTGTATGCACAATATATGGAACTGGGATGGTTTTGAAAGCTTAGAGTCTGAATCCCAGTACTTTGAAGTGCCTGGACTGCCAAATAAAAATAAGATCGAAATAACCAAAGCTCAACTCGCGCAGTTGGTGAAACCCAGCTCCGAGGAGCGCAGCAAGTATGCCAAGGAGAAGAAAGACGCAGAGGATAGCGCTTTTGGGATAGTGGTGAACAGCTTTGAGGAGCTGGAACCAGAATACATTAAGGAGTTCAAGAAAGGGAGAAATGTTTGGGCCATCGGCCCTGTTTCTCTGTGCAATAAGGAGGAATCGGACATGGCTGAAAGGGGGAACATGCCCTCCATTGATAAGCACCACTGCTTGAAATGGCTAGACTCCATGGAAGCCAACTCTGTCCTCTTCGTCTGCCTCGGAAGCCTCTCGCGATTGCCGACTCCTCAGATGATAGAGCTCGGGCTCGCACTGGAGTCATCAAACCGCCCTTTCATTTGGGTTATCAGGTACCGTTATATATTATTATATGCTTCTTCCTAACAACGTAAGCTTTAAGATCACTTGAATATTTCTAGCAATAGTTAAAGAGACCTTCGAAATAACGTTAATGTTTTTGTGTACTTCTTTTCTGAATTACAATACTAGATAGTATGTGTATTCTTTTCCAAAATGGTTGAATCCCAACCTTAAATTCCCGGTAGAGTGCATATGGGAAAAGGTAAATCATTGTAGACAAGTCAAATGTTGATGTCTACAAAGAATCGGTGCATTTTAGACATAATTCTCATATCACCGTTGTCCCGTTTCAAATTTTTGTCTTTTTTTTTTTTCAAATACTACATATAAGTCGATATTTATTTAAAGTCAAACTGAATATCCTAAATTACTAACTGAATAAATCACTTATACACTTAATCATTCACTTGCACCACAATTACTAAATAATACACTATATTATATTATATTAGAATGATAGACCTACAGAAGAATAATGTTTTTGTCTATAACTTTTCTCTTGAATATTAGATGGTATATGTATTCAAAATATAGAGCTGTGAAAGGATTAGTTTACTTAGAGGCCTATGAGTCATTATCATAGGCCGTTAAAGCCAAATTAAATATTTTAAATTACTTGACTTAATCATTCATTTGCAACACAATCATTACAAAATATTATATTATATTATATGTGGAAAAATACTTACAGGCACATCTCCGATGAGTTTCAAAACTGGCTTCGCCAAGAAAAATATGAGGAAAGAGTTAAAGAGCAACAAGGGCTTATCATCTATGGTTGGGCTCCGCAAGTGCTAATCTTGTCTCACCCGTCTATCGGAGGATTCTTAACTCACTGCGGGTGGAACTCGTCCCTGGAAGCCATTACTTCCGGCTTGCCTTTGATCACTTGGCCACTTTTTGGGGAGCAATTCTTGAACGAGAGGCTAATTGTGAATGTACTAAGAATCGGAGTGAAGACTGGAGTGGAGTTTCCTGTTTTGTTTGGAGCGGAAGAACAGACAGGAGTCCAAGTGAATAGAGATGATATTGTAGTGGCCATTGAGGAAGTGATGGGTGGAGGAGAGGAGGCTGAAATGAGAAGAAAAAGAATGAAAAAGCTTGGAGAAATGGCAAGGACGGCAATGGAGGGAGGAGGTTCATCTTTCCATAATATTGCCAAACTAATTCAGGATGTTGCAGAGGAATCGAACGCTAGGACATCAGTTTAAGACTATCATGTTAAGGCATAAGCACCTGTTAGAGTTTTATGCAATCTTTCCTTAGCTATGGCAGGTTATTATTGTAGCTTTCCTTGTAATGCTCCGTTATCTTTGGTTCTGCAGTTGTACATTTGTATAGATATATTGCTCCTAGATTTTCAATAAAATGTATCTCTCTTCTCTGTTTATACACTGCATATCTTACATGGTATCAAGAGTTTAGTATCCAGCGGGCAATTTTTTTGCCCTCTCTTTCTTTGCACTCCTACTTCCGTGGCAGTCAAGTTCAATTAAATGCTCCCACCCACTTCCGGATTAGACTCACTTCCTCTAACTTTCCTGTTTGGAGAAAGACAAGTCCAGTTGATTGCGTTTCTTTTCTTCACTCTTGCTAGGTATAGCGTAAGAGTTGATTGTGTTGGGATGAATCCCGGATTATGTCGTTCTCAAGGGATGGCCGCTCGGAGTTACCCTTAAGTTGCTAATTTCGGAAAGTAAAGACATCGGTATTGTTTGACTGCATGTCACACGCACACAAAAGATAAACGTCATAGTGAACTAGTAAAACGAATGCTAACAAGTGGTAATCAAATGAAAGATAGATAGCAGGGTTGAATTGCTTAGTGTGGATTAAGATGCTTATAGAATCATTAAGAACAGGGAAAGAGGATGCAAATGCTAAGTCTAGGGAGTGGCTTGTGTCCTTTCGTAACTTAGACTACTAGGATTTGTTTAGGTCTCACCTAAACCTTTCAACAAATACCTTGCCTACAACTCCTTCCCAACCAAGTCTCGTAGGGTTCTAGGAAATGCCAAGGATGGGAGCTTGGATTGAACTAGCGCAACATAGGTCAATCCCTCAAACAACCATAGGAGGTGATCAAGTTCCTTTGATGCAAACAAATCAATCCCTAACAACAAGACATAGAAGCATTGCAATCAATCAATCCCTAATTCAAGAACTAAGTCACAAAAGCATCATCATCACACACTTTCACAATTCAAACCCTAGCTAAGCTAGCCTATAATAGCCATAGAAATCGTAAAAGCATTCATAAATCTAAATCTAACCAAGCAAATAGAAATGAAAAGAGTAGAGATAATACCAATTCAAGCAACTAGATTAGGGAATAAAAAGAAGTCTTGCAAGATCTCTTGAATTGGAGTTTGTCAATCTCTTCCTTCAATGAATCTCCCTAGAAATCCAAGCTTGAATATACTAAGATCTCTCTACAAACTGTTCTCTCTCAATCTAAAAAATGCTAAGCTATCAAAGTATTCTAACAATCTACCAAAAGTCCTCTCTAAATCTGATCAAAAACTTCTTAAATAGCCTCCCCTTTCAATCCCTTTCGCAACTCTTCCACGCAGCCTTCAACGCCCTGGACAACGCACGTTGTCCGGGAACTTATTCCGCCCAGCGCGCGTCACAACACACGTTGTGATGCGCGTTGAACTTTCTGGAAATTAGCTCTGTTTTTGCTTCTCCACAACGCACACAGCAACACACGTTGTGGCCTTCGTGGCTTGGTCTCGGCTCGTCTTCTTGTCCCGCTTTCGCTCCGATTGTACCACTTTGCCTTGCTTAAGCCCGAAGCTTACTTAAAAACATATAAAATACAAATTGTGGTGATAATTTACAGTAAAATGCAAAACATAGCTAATTGGCACAATATTGCTACACAAATGCTATACAATCCTCTTTCCAAACCAATGTGGGACAAAAGCTCACTTTTTCCCTTCATTTTTCCAACTCAATGGGTCTACTTTGAGAATCAATATCTCATTCACCCATTATCCGTTTTGAGCGTACAATATATCAATCTCTTCGTCTCACTACGAAGAACCCGAATCCACTTTGACCTGACCCAAATCGGAAGTGGACCCCACTGATAATTGTACCACAAAATAGCCACTTAATATGCCATTTCAAGCTATTTTTCCAACAATCCCCCACATGAATGAAAAATTGATTTTCGGGGTATTTTGAAATCGGAAACAACTGTGTTCAAACGGTCGATCCCTGCATAGGATAGGTAGGGAGTCACTATACCCTTTGAACCTTCCCTTGTGAAGATATATTTACTCTACTGGCTGTACGGTAGAACGCGATGTCTTTGAACCGACTGCCGCTTGTGTAGACGATGACATATCTCACACAGGAACCTCCCAACCATACTCTGTTCTCATGAGTGTGCCCATTTTGGTCGTGGGTCACCGTTCCTGGTTCTGCGAGAGTTTCTAAAGAATTGTGCCCAACAATTCTCCTTTGAAGCGACCCTCACTTCTCTCTTACATAGGTGATTCTTTCTCGAGTATCCCGCATACTCAAGAATCATTAAAGCATCAACATGCTAGCCTCGTGCGGGAGTCACTGTTTCTAACGAGGAGTGGTAGGGAGTCCGAGACCCCCACAGTGACACGCTCCGTTCCATAACTTAGTTGTCCCATTGAACCTAGGTGCTAGCTAGGTTGGGTATCCACTATAGAACTTTTAGTCCAAGGGTTTTAGACCCATTCCTCGTTCCAATTTCTCCACAACCGTTTGCTTACCCTCTGGTTAGCGAGTTAGCGGCCGCTACGTTATCTTTTGACATCACGTAGTCAATAGAGATAACCCTCGTCGTGAGAAATTGTTTAATGATATTATGTCTACGACTTATAAGTCTAGACTTACCATTCCACATTTAACTCTGTACTTAACCAATTTTGGCTTGACTGTCGCAATGCACACAAATTGGAGGTACGAGTTCACCACCAGGAACATTCTCGAAATAATGGCATAGCCATTCAGCCTACTCGCTCGCGACACGAGTGTAAGGCTCTCAGCTTTGATCCCGTCGGATCTTAGCTATCACAAATTCATTTCGAGAATTTCCGTCCAACCGGCTGCACTGGCCTACGTAAAGACGTAGCCTTTGATGGACTTAGTGTCCTTTGATATCCGTGCTATACTTTCCAAGTACGGCTAGACATCCCACGTAGTGCAGTCTAGAGTATGAGCATACCTTAAGTATCTCATAACTCACACTATTGCCTTCTAGTGCGCAACACTAGGGTTACTCGTATGTCTACCGAGTTCGTTAACCGCTAAGGCAATATCCAGCCTAGTACAACCCATTAGAAGCAATTAAACTACCAATAATCTGAATGTATTCTCCATGAGATATACAATCTTCGTGATTATTTGCTAGTTGTATGTTAGTATCTAACGATGTCCAAGCCACTTGATTAACATCCTCTGCAAGGATTTAATCAACACAATGAGATTGGTTTAACACGAGACCATACGGTCTTCTCACAATTTTAATCCCGAGGATTCAATCTGCCAAACTCATACCCTTCATTTTAAATCTCGAATTTAACATGTTTCTGGTAGAATTGATCATTTGATCGTTACTACCCACAATGAGTTTATCGTGTATAAACAAACAGTGATATCATCGTCTATTGTATGCAATACGTAGACCCACTAGTCACTTTTATTTATACTAAACTCGTTGGTCATCATTGTATGATCAAACTCACATGCCAAATACTAAGGCAATTGTTTCAACCCATACAATGATCTCACCAATTACACACTTTCTTTCCATAGCGCGGAACCACAAAACCCTCGGGTTGTTCCATGTCTATTAAGAAAGCGATACATCCATTTCGATAAACTTCCAAGTCTCGCTAAACAGCTCTTTGGCAAGTATCATACTAATGGATTTTATTCTCATCACAAGAGAATATTTATATCGAAGTAACCGTGGCACTCGCGTTGCATGTAATCTACAATTACAGGCCTGGCCATTTCACTTCAATATAATCAACCGGTTTTATCTTCTGACTAGTGATCCACTTTGGATCCCGAGGTTTTACAACCTGGAGGAAGAACAACCAGTTCCAAGTATGATTCTCTAAGATAGAATCTACTTCACTCTCGATAGCCTCTCTCGGGTTGGTCCATCTGTAGAAGTCACCACTTCTACATATGTGCGAGGCTCATTTTCTAACAACCATGTCAGAAAATCCAATTTCTTTTCTAGTAAACAAGTTAGATTGTGCGCATCACACTCTAACATGTACGTCAGAAAATATGGACCAAAGGATTTTTCAATCCTAGCTCTCTTGCTACGTCTAGCTTTGAGCTCGGGTTCTCTTTCATACCCTTCAACCATAGCTACGCCGAAAGTTCCTTTCAACGTGCTAGGTCCTTTATTGATCCTTCACAAAAATACATCTTCCAAGAACGATGAATTTCTTGAATCAATCTTTCGTGTTCTTATGTACATCCAAACTCTTGGACTCGTGTACTAAGAACCAATACACAACTTTGGCAAGACACCCCCACATTTCAGGCATTAGTAGGAAACTTCCTACGTACCCACAATTCGTAAGAATTTCATGCGGGTAACCTTATTTAAAAGGTACTCACTTGTCCAAAGAATTGTCTCGCCTCACATACTTAGAGGTAGACCCGAACATATCAACGTCTTGATATTTATGTTCGGCAAAAACGTTCGATTGAGGTGAATACCGTACCGTACTCTCGAGTACAATACCATCGCTTGCGCCGAAATCACCAATAGGTGTTTCACGTTCACCACATCGATCGTTCATAACCGCATTAATCCACGATTAATTTGGTTTTTCCCTTTTTATTCTTTAAAGAATAAACATGTGTTACACGCTAACACATCTCGTAGGTGCTAACAGATTAGCCCTCACGAACCCATTCGGTTTTGACCGAAAGGCCACAAACCCGAATCAGTGCTTCCGAAATTGAAGCACGAATTAGTGCTTAGTAGTGAAGCACGAAACATGCTATACCAAGCACGAATTATTGCTTCTAAACTAACGCATCGATTCCAAAGCAATCTCTATTGCTTTAAATTATAAACTCACAACAACCTTTCGTTGCTTAATTTATAATTACAGTGCTACCTGACACTAGGATTATTAGTTAATTACACAATTAACCAAACTTCCTTTCGTGTTAATCACATAACACTTTTCCTAATGCTAAATTTAATTAGCCTCTTGCATAATGCTAATTTAACATTTTTGGACGTCCAGTGCTATTAAGCACCACAATTAGCATTTCAACAATGCTAAGTTTAATTAGCATTTCTCATTAAGCTCAAGCTTAATTTGACGTCCCAACAATTTGTCTCAAATCACATTTCATACTAGTATAATTTGGAATTTT